GGGGATCGAGCTAGCAACCCAGGCATGTGCCCTTGACCTCCTGGTTCATAGGTTGACGCTCAACCACTGGGCCACACCGGCCGCACTGGTTGCTTCTTATATGTGTCCTGACCAGGCACCTAACCCGAAACCTTGGCGTACCGGGATGATGCTCTAACTAACTGAGCTGCCGGCCAGGGCCAAGACTTCCCATTTCAGAGGCTGCGGGATTCTGTGCCCTGTCAAAGCCAAACCCAGGGGTTCCTGCTCCCGCCTCTGCTCTCCTCCTCTCTCCTCAGCTATTGGTTTCCTCTTGATCTTCTCTTCCTCCTCTCAGCGGAACGGTCAGTGGGACTCCTTCCTGGCTGGGGACAGGGCTGCCAGTATATTTTTTTAAAATATATTTCTTTATTGATTTTAGAGAGGAAGGGAGAAGGAGAGAGAGATAGAAACATCAATGATGAGAAAGAATCATGGATCGGCTGCCTCCTGCACACCCCCTACTGGGGATGGAGCCCGCAACCCAGGCATGTGCCCTTGGCCGGAATCGAACTTGGGACCCTTCAGTCCGCAGGCTGACGCTCTATCCACTGAGCCAGGCTGGCCAGGGCCTGCCAGTATTTCTAATAAAAGAAAAAAGAAATGCTTACATAGACGCCTGTCACAAACCTGACACTCCAACCAGGACACCCCCTCCTAGAAGGCAAGGATCTTGGGGAGTGTCTGGCCCAGTCCCCCTCTTTCCAGATGAGGAATCTGAGGCCCAGAACGAGGGCACGACTGGCCCAAGGTTCCCAGTGAATGAGGTTCAGAGCCTGGGACTGAACGCGCCCCTTCTGGTCCCAAGCCCATCATGGTCCCTTCCCCTCCCCCTTCCCCCTGACTCGGTTCCCTGGGGTGGGAAGGGGAGGACTCCAGGCAAGGACCTGGCTCTTTAAAACCCTCCCCCATGTCCAGGCCAAGCAGAAGGGGGCTGTGCAATGAGCCAGCCCTGGAGGTGACCTTGGTGGGGTGGGGGTGGGGGGAGGCATGGCTGCAGAGATTTGATGCCCAAGATAATGGAGATCTGCGGGGGAGGGGAGGCAGCCAGCTGAGACTATCGCTGGGCACAGCAGCCAGCCCTGTTCCCAACCACCTGCCCACCCGAGGGGATAGAGAGAGGAGGGTGGGGTGGGGAGGGAAGGGGAAGGCATGGGGCAAGGACCAGCAAATACATATTGCCTTCCCACCGCAGGGGTCCTGGGCTCACAGAGAAGGTGACCAAGTGAAATCATAGTGCTGCCTGCCTCTGGCTCCCTCCCACCGCCCGACCCCCCGGAATGACACCACCGCCTCCCCAAGATGCCTGTGGCCAGGAGGGCGAGTCATGCCATTTGTTGTGGTGTTTCTCAAACTTCAGCATGTGTTCGTGTGTTCGTGTGTTCGCGTCCCTGAGGCTGGTATTAGACGCAGATTTCGATGTGGCAGGTGGGGGGTGGGTCTGAGGGTCTGCCTTTGCCATGATTCCATGCTGGGCCACACTTGTACTTTTATTTTTAATTTTCTTAAAATATATTTTTATTGATTTCAGAGAGGAAGGGAGACAGAGAGAGATAGAAACATCAATGATGAGAGAGAATCAGAGATCGGCTACCTCCTGCACGCCCTCTACTGGGAATTGAGCCCACAACCCGGGCATGTGCCCTTGACTGGAATCGAACCTGGGACCCTTCAGTCCTCAGGCTGACGCTCTATCCACTGAGCCAAACCAGCGAGGGCTACATTTTATTTTATTACTAGGGACCCAGCACACGAAATCGGGTGAGACCCAGACCCGGCGCGCTGCGGGACACAGTGTCAAGTCCTCCCAGCGCCTGTGGGACCCAGCGTCCAGTCCCTGCCCACCCACTCCCGCCTCGCTGTGCACGCAGCCTCCTGGTGACCAGTCTTTGGTCGTTACGGTGTGACGGTGTCACAACCAAGGGGTTTTTATAATAGAGATTATGTTTTTTAAACATTTTTATGATTTCAGAGAGGAAGGGAGAGGGAGAGATAGAAACATCAATGATGACAGAGAATCACTGATCAGCTGCCTCCTGCACACCCCACACTAGGGATCGAGCCCGCAACCGGGGCATGCGCCCTGAGCAGGAATCGAACCGTGACCTCCTGGTTCATAGGTTGATGCTCAACCACTGAGCCACGCCGGCCGGGCAATCTATGCGTAATTCTTAGCACAGTGCTTAGCACATGGTAAGCACCGTCTAAACTTCATTGACTGTAACTAAATTATTATTTTCTGCCTCTAAGCCACCGGGTGACACCTGAGTTTCAGGATGGCTGGCTGCTGAGCTCACATGTACCTGGACAGTCAAGTTCCTGGTTCAAGTCCAAGAGGAAGGCAGGAGCGTGGCCAGGTGGCTCAGGAGAAGGTTGGGCCAGGTGAGCTGGAACGCGTGAAGTCACCGGGCATGGACACCTTCTCCTTCCTCTCACCCTGTGCTCTGGGCGGATGTCGGGGCTCTAGGCCGCACACAGCTTTATCCCTTCAATGTGATCCAGAGAGTGAGTCAGAGAGCAGTGTTTGGACAAGGCTGCTATATATCATTTGGCTCATTGATTGGGAGGACTCTGTATGCTCTTTCTTAATATCCTGAGTCTACCTATGGGTGTGTGTGGCTTGTCTGTTTCCTCTCTCTCTTTCCTCGCCTATATCCACAGCATTTAGTCTCTGGGAATCTTGAGGATCAAAGAATCATGGGGTGAACCAGGAGGTCACGGTTCGATTCCCGGTCAGGGCACTTGCCCGGGTTGCAGGCTCGATCCCCAGTAGGGGGGCATGCAGGAGGCAGCTGATCCATGATTCTCTCTCATCATGGATGTTTCT